CCGGTCTCCAAATTTTTGGGCTAGGTTTATAACAGACTGACGCAACTCATTGAAGCTCTGAGTCAGCTTCCACTAAAATTAGATTCTCTTTCTGTTAACTTTAATGGGTGTGGGATTGGTCCTGAAGGATCCAGGTGAATTTTGGTATCATGTTTGCTATGGAATTTATTTGGAAACAAACTTTTGCTATTTGAAGTAGAGTACTAAAGATGCTATTTACTATCTTTGCTTCTTCAGCCTCATTCTTCATCCTGTTTAGCCATGGATTTGATCATAGTACCATGTGGTATTATATGGTTTAAGAGGATTTCCAGGACTGCATCACTTTGCAAATGAATCAGCAGTTTCTAACTCCTCCATGCCGGAATGCAATTTATTTGCTTTAAAGGGATGTTGCTGATTTTTTTTAATCATTATTTTGGGGAAAGGATGTCTGCTAAAGCCCCACTTACATAATTCATAATGTTTAATTAAGCAAGTTCTTTTAGAAAAGGCAGATTTTCTCATCCCCATTTTTATCTTCCCCAGGGTATTTGGAGTATGAGAGAGCAAAAACAAATCCTGTCCTCTCCTATGTACACCTCTGAGTGCAGTCTCATAGCTTTCAGTTTTGCTGCTGCTGCTGCTGCTTCTGCTGCTGCTGGTTAAGGCCCTTTTACAGAGCCTGACAAAGGCCATTGCCATTACCAGAAGAATGAAAAAGTAGAGGATGTCTCATTTGCACTTTCTCTGTTCCTACCCTTGAGATAGACATTGGAGCTAACTACAGCTTTAAACCATATCCCTCTACTCTGGAGCAACCTACCTGTCCTCTACTGTAAATTAGACCAGTTTTTAAATCTGCTTTGTGTGGGCCTAGCAGGCCTGGTGACCAGAAATAACAGGTAGCACTGAGAGCTCTGGCCAGACCTGTGACCTGTCACCCATCATACATATGCTGCATTGTAGTTGAATCCTCATAACATCTCCACCTTGCCCAGGAAGGAATATTCTCAGTGGGGCATCTGCTTAATTGAAGCCATCTTTACCCTGCCACAGGAGCACAAAAAAGTCCTTAATGTAAATAACAATCAGGCCCGAAGCACTGGCAGATATATAAAACAGGCAAAGTGAAGAAACAGACGCATTTAAACCTCCCATCTCTTGCTATCACAGAAACCTCTGGGGGGTTTTTGAGTCAAAAGTCAGAACAAAAAATTTCTGAGGGAAATCTGGATCTTGGGTTGATGGAGTTCCTTTAAAGCTAGATGACTTAAAGAGGGTGTAAATTATTATTTCGTAACTAGTGCACTTTCAGGGACAAAGCCAAAAATAGGGTACCATCATGCAACAAGGCTAAAAGAATGTGATATAATTCTCAGGCTGCAGCACTCCCTTCACCAGCCATAAATGGGATTCGAAGATTATTTATACTGCTAGTTAACTGAGAAAGCTCTAAGCCGTGACTACAACATGACTCCCCCTTCAAGAAAGAATTATTTGTCGAGGTTGTATTTTTAGTGCTTGAATTCTCACTTCCTGCTAATAAGACAGGTAGGGATGGGAAAACAGAGTAGGAATAAATAAGAACATTCCTGACCAAACAATTGTCAAGCTTCAAATGTCTCATCTATTTAAAACCTAGTTGCTAACCATTAAACAGTTTTGCACTAACAAAACATATGCTAATGCTGTTCCATTTAAACAGCAGTCTTTGCCATCCAATAAACAGCTTCCTAAGGGACCTCCCAATATAATGTGTCCAAATAAAGTATATTCCTTTAATTGTTAGTGTTTTCCATCAGAAAGCTTGTACATCTTTAGTGTCAGACAAGACAAGGAGGGTGCATTCCTGCTTTAGGTGAAAAACTTAGTACAACACATGTATCTGGATACTTAACATCACTGTGCACAACAAACCATGGAACTATGACTATTGCTGGGGTAGAAGCAGCAGCCCACTACCAAGCAGGCTGATGTAGAACAGTGTGGGGAGCGACATCTGTACGATGCTGCTGCTACAAATCCCTGCTCTTACCAAATGCATTGTGCACTGAAGCAACAGAGCTTCAGGGTCTAACCTCTGATCTGAAAGTAGCCCACAGAAAATTCAGGGAACTAAATGTCCCCACCACAAGGATGAGCAACATGCGAGTCAGCCTTCCCTATGGTTGAATCCTCAGGCATGCAGGAGTCACGCTCAGGAAGGGTGAAGTGACGTGGCGGGAAAAGTGTTTTTATAGTTCTTCTGTGGCTCTTGCCAATCCTATGTTAGATGGTGGCCATTTTGGCTCCTGGCACAACCCAGAGTAGCCTTGGAGCTCCTCTAAACCGCACCAGTTCATAACAGACTCAGTGGGTATTGTACTGTCCACAGCTTGCTAGAGCACAGTGCTCTCTGGCTGCTCTCCTTTCTTTCCTGGTGCTTTCTTGGCAAGCCCCCTGTGCTGAAGAAGCCTGACACACAGTTTGTTACCACCTCATGTCAGCTTTTCCCAGCATCCTGAGATACACGCTTCTAGCTGCCTGAGCCAATATTACACTCCATTTGGTCTGCCAGACTGGCAAGGGAAGGGCTGTACCTACATAGCAAAATCTGGTTCCTGTTTGTGAACCGATAGCCTTTCTGAGCTGTTAAACATGGTGTTTAGTTATTCGTCTTTTAATAAAGAGAAGATTGACAGAGACATTACTTTCTTACTTTCTCTAAGAGAGGGTTTCAGATATATAAGGCAATATAAAACAGCAGAAGTGAGGCAGAATACCTAAGCACGTACAGAAAATGAATAAAACATATTGTTATAAAAGTTAGATCCCTAATTCTTTGTTTTTCCCCATTTATATTATCCTATCAGGCAATAAATCATTTCATTTATCTTCATTCTTGTCAACTTCATTTCTATAGATGGCAATTTTTTAAAACCAGAGCTGGAGAAATACATTTATTGGCAGCTTTCAATGGGCATCTTTGTTTGATATCAGTAAACTAGAACATTTGACTAATTCTATCACAGTAGAAAGTTGAGGAATATACAAATATCCCTGAAATAGCTTTTGCAGATAGAAACCTTTAACCTGAAACATAGAGCAGGGGATTGAAAGAGAATTGTGATGGTACAGGGGAGTTATCTTACTGAGGAGGAGGGAAGGCCTGCTGGTAAAGGTGCAAGCATAGAATTTGGGAAACTGAGGTGCAGTTTTTTCCCCGCCCCCAAATATCCTTGAGCAAGTCACATAGGCCACAAATAAACATTCAGTTTCTCTTGGGAGAGTTGTTGCTCTCCCAGGCAAAAAGATGAGTGTAGAGACATTCAAGATGCATCTGCCAGAGCAAAACGGCTGCTCCAGGGGAGAAATAACTCAGGAGCAACCAGAGCTAAATGGCTTCTGGGAGAGTGAATGTCTGTACCTTTGGAGAGAAGCTATAACACAGTCCTCTAGCATCCCAGCATGCTTCACTCCCAGTCCTGTCCTCCCCCTCCCCCATGAGTCTAGGGCAGGGCGGGCAATTAATTTGGGCGGAGGGCCACTTACTGAGTTTTGGCAAGCCATCGAGGGCCACATGACAGGCAGCCAGGGGCAGATAAATATTAATTTTCTAAATTTTTTAGGGGCCCCACGGGCCAGATAGAATGGTCTGGCAGGCCTCATCTGGCCCACAGGCCACATTTTGCCCACCCCTGATCTAGGGAGACAGTGTGTCACTTGGGCTGGGCTATATTACTCCAGCCAAGCGGAGAGCCCCTTCATAATCCCTTCTCATTGTGCTGCAGGGAGACACCTCTCAAAGCAATCTGGGTCACCCAATTGTGGCTGCCCTATGTACTGCTGTCATTCATCTCCAGGCAGACTGGGGGGCCTATAGAGCAAGGTGAGATGTGTGCATAGGGCCTCTCTGGCTGCAGAGCAACTCAGCATTCATACATCTGTTCAGGGGTCTCTGGGTAAGTTTTGCTACCAAAATAACAAACCCAGGAGAATTCTCCCAAATCATTTGAACATATGTACTCTGTGGAACACGTAGAGACCAGATGCTTGTGGGTTCCACTAAGTTGTTTGTAATCCTCTCACACTATGAACACCAACATTACATTGATATGATGGACACAGAATGAAGAAACAAATGTCAACCCTCCAGCATTTTTCTCTGCTTATTTTTCTTTTGCTTTGTTATTTATTTAGCAAAAGTGTTATTCAGAAAATCTCTAATCACAAGGTTTGACCTGTATTCTCTTAATCAGGAGGGACTTTTCTCATCATGGTTAAGCATGATATCCTTTTAATTGTCTGGGGATATATGGTTCTTCACTTCTTTTTCCCAACCTAGTTTTCCACAGTTGTTATTACTCTGCCATTCTGTGCCACTTAAAAAGCTACTCAAGTACAAGGAATAGAAGCCTCCATAATTGTGAGATAAACACGTTGAAAAAACAGGAATTTGTATCTTTTTACAGATCATGTATTATGTATATCATCTTAAGAAATGGAAGCAGTTTAAATTAGATTTATCCCCACAGTGAATAATTAAAGATAATCAAATCTTTGGTAAAATAAATAATAGAGTGTGTGCACATTTTTTATGAATACAGGGTAAAATACTGGTCACACTGAAATAGAGCTATGGGTAATCGGTCTGCAAAACAGACCTAATGATAACACCCCTGGCTGTATCCAGAGCACGGCTGTGCAGTATGTGGCGCAGACCCATCTGCGGTGCCACACACTGCACATTCAGGTGCTCCCCAGGGCAGGGAAAATACCCACATGGAAAACACAGAGCAGTCCACATGCTGGCAGCGTATGAAGCCCAAAACTGGAGCCTGGCCAGCCGGAGCTACACTCCAGCTGCCAGCCACACTCTCAACTGCAGGAGCACCACAGCTTCCCCAGCTGCTGCAGCCAGCACAGTTGCTGGCTCCAACCTCCCCTACCACACCCAGGGTAACCTGCCGCATGCCAGAGTACGTGTGGCACAGGTATTCCCCAGGGACAAGTAGCAGTGGCACAAGGTATGCCACTGCTACTTGTCCCCAGGGAACCAAACGTCTATGCTCGTCTGGATGCGGTCATTGTGTGTAGACAACTAATTCATTTCCACCAGCAGAGCCTTTGCTACTCTGGTTTCTCTTATCATTTACTCCACCAATTTTGCTTCTGTATTTTTTCTAAATATTGTCTGATCTCAATCCCTTCATTACCTATATAATCTAGAATCTCTCCATCTCACTGGGGTCCATAGAGAGCAATATATGTAGTATACAAAAGGAGAGATTTTTCCTCCTCTTTTCCTGCCAAGAATCAATGGGCAGATATTAGTTATTCATCATATTTAAAAAAAAAATTATAGTCCTTGCTAATTCACTCTACCAGCTTCCAAGCAGAAAAGGTCTCACCCCCACTTCACAGATGAGGGAATTATACTTTCCCAGTGCCAAACAGTTGTAAAACTCAAGGGGGAAACCAGGGTCTTTTGTTTGATTATAAAATGTCTGCACTGCACAGGCAGGTCTTTCAGCTTTGCTGTTTCCGGTTTCCAAACCAGCTCCCAGTCACTGAAGCCCTAGTTAAAGAAGTACTGATGCTGCTCTAACTTGCATCAACAGATTACTCAGCTTCAGTGGCTGTTCCGTCAGCCAGAATTGTTAGAGTACATCACACTCCAGACCAACCCACTTCCTCTCCATGGGTCAAAAGTGTAAGGTAGGTTTTGCCTTATAGTAAACAGTCCTCAGCCGCTTCCAGAAAGGAGATATGGATATTCCTTTTCACAACTACAGCAGCACAGACTCTAGCCCCATAAGGTTAGCCAGAAAACACAAGAAACATAAACAATGTACAGTTTGCAAAGACAGCTAACTGCCAGATTAAAATTATTTGGCAGCAGAATCCTGACAAACCCTCTGCCATAGTTATGATTCTTCCCCTGCTCTTTTTCAACTGTCTTGCTGCTTTCTCCTGGCTGAAAATTATACAAAGAGATCATAAGATTGTCTATATTTTTTGCATGGAAGAGTGTATTTTTTCACTCTTTTCTCCTCACACTCAGAAATAACAGAAGCATCTTTGCTCAGACTTTCCAGAACAGCTTAAACAGTAAGCTTCAGAAGGCTACAAAGCAACTGAGAAAAGGGATTGTGATAGAACGGTTACACAACTGTAACCACAGCAGGTTGCATCCTGAAGTTCCCTAATTAAGTCCTTTCCATTCTCATGGATGGATAAACTTCAAGTGCCAGTCTCCTCTACCACTTCTCTTTCTTTGACAGAGTTGCTGTGGGTTTGCTGGGGTGAACTAAAAGCAATTAATGCCAGCTGATTTAGTCCTGCTACCATGGCAAACCCTGCATTTAGGACAAAGCAGCTGTAGTCTTCTTTTTCTTCTAAGGGAGTGCTACTGCTTTTACTGCCAATCAATAGTATCCATGACATGCCGACACCCAGGTGGCTCACTGAAATTAACTGCTATGTCTCTTTTTTATGCAGCATACCTGATAGCTGACAAGGAAGTAATATTATAAAAATGGTAATTGCTGAGGTCCATAAAATGGTTGGTGGGGTAGCTATCCCTTTTGAAAGGGGGGTGCAGATGCTGTGCTGCTTCCTCACATCTAACACAACAAGTAGGTCACTTGAAAATGGAGCTCTGTATCATAGAATTATTTTTCTTGCTTTGTTTTCTTAGAGAAGTTGAATGGCAGATGCACAAAGCACTTGTATAGGTCTAAAATGATTAAGAGTAAAGGATTCTGGAGAAAAACATCAACACTGTAATACCTATTTATAAAGTCCGTACTATTATTATAGCAAAAACCAAAAAGATACATTTTTAGAGTCAATGGGAAACAGTGTCACCTTGGGCAGATTAAATATTTACAGTGATGTAATTAGTATTATATTGGTATTTAAAAGTAGAAAACAAATTATGCCACCCCCTACACAAAGATAACATCACCCAGACTGATTAGACCCAGAAGTAAAACTCCTTTGATGTAAGTTACCAGTTTAAGTTTTGTCATTTCTCCATTCATTTCTGGTAGCAAACAGGTTATTAACACTATGGTTATTTCCCCTTGGTGGCAAGGTACAGCCCACTGCATGAGCTAAGCTCCGGACAGCTGCACATCTGTTTCTGGTCCCAGTATAATTTACATCAGTATACAAAACCAGTGTACATTACACAGCGATATATGTTCATCTGTCCATGACCCAAGCTGACAAAGCTACTGCTGTTTTTTGCCTGCTAGAATGATTACCTGATGAATAATGTGTATGGTTTTTCCTTCCCTTACAGTTGCACTCTGCTGTTACCAGGATCCAAGTACAAAGACCTGGTTTCAATTACACATTTGCCCATATATGTATCCTGAATAACGACAAGACTTGCATAGTGGATGACATAGTGCATGTATTGGAGGAACTGAAGACCGCTCGTTCTTCTAATCGAACAAATTTTGCCATCACATATCCAATCACTCATTTAAAGGATGGCAGGGAAGTGTATAATGGGCACCAGCTTGGTGGAGTTACTGTGCACAGCAAAGATCGGGTGAAGTCTGCAGAAGCCATTCAGCTCACCTACTACTTGCAGGCAATCAACTCCCTGAATGACATGGTAGCGGAAAAGTGGGAATCCATTTTTTGCGACACTGTTGAACTTTTCCAGAAATCTAACAGGAAAGTCAAAATGTATCCCTTCACTTCTTCTTCACTGAAAGAGGATTTCCAGAAGACTAGCAGGGTGTCAGAACGTTACCTGATCACGAGTCTAGTACTTGTGGTCAGCTTGGCTATACTCTGCTGCTCCATGCAGGATTGTGTCCGTAGCAAACCTTGGCTTGGTCTCCTAGGCTTGTTAACAATAAGCCTAGCCACTCTGACTGCAGCTGGAATCATTAATCTAACTGGTGGGAAATACAATTCCACGTTCCTGGGAATTCCCTTCATCATGTTAGGTAACTATCTCCTATTTTGATATTTTTGTGTGCTTATGATTTTTTATTGACATGTTTCCCAGCAAGCAAAAAAGCAGCCAAGAATCACTGCATGTAGCCTTGGTAACACTGCAGTCTACCATCCACCTCATGAATTCACATAGTATTTATAATGTTTATAAATCATTCACACTGTACTTGGACATTAAAACTATTTCTGGAGGGGCTCTCTTGTTTCATAGCACATTTTTGTATGATTTTTTTCTTGGCTCATAGCTAGGGACAAAAATATGCTAGTGCAGTATGTTATACAAGAGAGGAAACCAACTGCAGTTTTTCTGTGGAAACTTGTTTAGATTTTTGATACCCAGTTTAATAAGACAATCTATGCACAGCTGAAATGAAAATAGTGGCTGCCTTGGCAAAAAGGCGGGTATGTGCATTTTTCATTTACAGAGCAATCACTATACTCTTTTTGAGTACAGGGTGTTTTACCATTATCTTTCATAAGAGTCTGTGTAGGGAATAAGTGCAGTAGTAGACAGTTCTTTGTTATATTTCACTAGAAAAGTCAGAGTTTGCTGAGTCAGTGTAAGTATTGTTATGTAGTGCTAAGATGAAGAGCCATGCCTCACATTCTCCAGGTCAGAGTGCGGCACCAGTGCACATCAAGCCCCACGAATGACTAAAGCAGTGATTCTCAACCAGTGACCAAGCAACCTGGGGTAGTGAACGATCCTTTTAAGGGTGTTATGTAATATCAACACTGTTAGGTGTGCAAATACCTACACGATTCGCAAGATAAACCCAGAAATTTCAAGCAGGAATCCAAAATTTGTCTGCTCTGTTGTGGTCTTTCTAAGTTCTTTGCAACAGAATTGCTCTATTGTTTTCCACAGTCAAGAAATTAGTGAAAGCCAAGAGCTGGGATTTTCTGAGGGGTGCCTTAAGTCTAACAAAAGTGCCTTGAGTCTAAACAGATTCAAAATCACTGGACTGAAGCACAGGTACACTACCAAGACAGTCCTATTTTGTCTTCCTGGGCTGGCAGCCAGTGGTATTGACACAGAAATTTCTGTCTGTCTGTCCACCAAGATTTTATGAGAAGGGGGAAATCAGGGTGGGGGTCAGTTTGTCCCTGGTCTGAAATTAGCAGAAAGATTTTCTTAACAACTTCAGTGGTCATTGGATCAGGCCATTTGTGGGAAAATGCAGCATTGCATCAAAACAGGCAGAGGGCTTCACGAAGACACAAAAAATGATCTCTGGAAAGTTCATTCTTTTCATTTACCTTCTAGTCATGAACAGTAGTAAAAGCTTTGTCCACTGCAGACATCCGATATGTCCTTGTTTGCAACATTATTCATTTGTGAGGAATACTACATGCACTGATTTGATAAAAGCTTTCCCAGCTAAAAATCAGTGTGCAGTACTACTTCAAATTTTCAGCGTAAGTGGAACTCCAGTTACTTAGTCATATCATATAGTAATGTTCCACATTTCAGTAAGGTTGTTTTATGCTGAATACTAGGCCCACAGTGGTATGCACATAATATACTTGTAACCCCTGACATTTTTAATTCAAAGGGCACCTTTTAATATTTCACTGTACCAATTAATGTACAGTATCTACTTAGTGACAAGTAAGCAGAAATCAAGCCTTTAATGTTCTATCAGAAACAGTGTGTAATTCCTGTTTTCAAATGGCATCTAAAAAAATTAAAAATAACAAGTAAAATGGAGCACATTTCAAGAATTTTGTATCACAAGGAGGCCAGTTATCTCCATTTTTTGTAGATTTTCCTGCCTGTAATGTACAAAGTCTCCATTTAACTAAGCAGATTATGCAAAACACTTGCTTTTTTTCCCCCATGTGGCTTATAAAGAGACTATTCTCAGCAGAAAGTAAACATAAGAGTTCATGCATAGAAATGAAACTATCTTGTACAGGGTCACTTTGAAATCTGAAATGTTAACTGGATTAGTGGATCAGGACACCCACTGCCTGAGGACAACCTTTCACATCTTTAATTCATTGGCAATGAACATGCTGGGATCTGCAGTTCTTCCAGGGTTAAAGTTAACTAAGATAAATATCAGGGTTCTGTTATAGATCTTACTGCAAAATAGCATAGGCCAGCTCTTTTGTAGGGGGCTAAAATATGTTATTTTTTAGAGTGAGTTTAGTCCACCCACAGTTCTGTCAAAGAAAAGTAGTAGTAGAGGAGACTGGCACTTGAAGTTCATCCATGAGAATGGATTTAATTAGGGCATTGCAGGTTGTGGCCTGCTGTGGTTACAGTTGTGTAACAGTTTCTATCACAATCCCTTTTCTCAGTTGCTTTGTAGCCTTCTGAAGCTTACTGTTTAGGCTGTTCGTCTGAGCAAAGATGGTTCTGTTATTTTTGAATGAGAGAAGAAGAGTGAGAAAATACACTCGTCCCATGCAAAAAAATATATAGAAGGTCTGCTTAAGGAGAACTGGTTTGATTTGGTGGAGAGTTAGAAAGCATTCCTTTTTCTTCCAATATCAAAATAAAGCAGGACTAAAAGATTTTGCACATATTATCAAAAGATACTTCACATATATCCATTGTTGGGTTTTTTTTAAAGTTCGTCTTTATGGTAATTGAGGGCATGGAAGTACAAGCCAATGTCATTTGGAAAAAATGGAGATGTTCTCATTTAAATCCAGTGAGTTCTGGGTCACACCCTAGATTAACCAACCTTTAGAGGGCTGATGGATTTCCTAGCTAATGGTATAGCACTACAGCTATTACTTGCTCATAATCTCCTAGCTCAATGCAAACAATTGACATAAAAACCACTTAAAATGGACCTTTTTTGCACCAAATCTTCAGCCTGTATCAATCAGGAACAGAGCTACATCAGTTTATAGTAGTTAAAGGGCTGGCGTTTCATCATCTCCATCCCATTGCTGCCCAACCAGCACACACAGCCTACAGTGCGTCAGGAATATTTCTCAAAAAAAATTTTGGTCAGATGTCTTAATACTTGTCAGATATGTCACTGAATATTTTTAGTGACTTTCCCAGTTCTGGAGCCAGATTGATAATTTGGGTAAGATATTTGCAAAAATTAATTGCAGGCTATTTTTTACGATTTGATGAATCCCTTTTTTAATTATTCATGTAGCTTCAGCCACAGCTGTCTCCAAAGATGAATGACCTCTAGTGCAGAAAAGGTACCACAGTTTCTGTGTCTAATGAATCCTTGACCTTGCTGTCATTGGTTTTTATGGTGCGGGCAGCTTTTTGCCCCCTTCCCCTCCCTCTCCCAGCCCCTCCAACTTCTAGAATTTATCAATCGGGTACTGCAAAATAAAAATCCAGTAAAGGGAAAACAGACTGCAGAGATATGCAATTGAGTAAGCTCCAGTTCTAGTGAGAAATACCACAAGAATCTCTTCACCTGATCCCAAAAGGGCAAGGGTCTCCACACCACAAAATAGAAGAAGATTTGAGGAGAAGAAGGAGAGAAAAAGAGGAAGTGTGTCAGACTCTGGAGAGGGGCTATTTTTCTTTGAGCTTAACATGGACTTTCCCCTGTAGCCTGCCTCACTATAGATCATATTTAGTCTGGGCCCAGGTAACAAATGCTTGGCATAAAATCATCTCACCTACTGAGTGTTGTTAAATTTTGATCCTTAAAAATACCTATTCCCTTAGAAGCATTGTGCATGACAAAGAACCATTTAAAACAAGCATAGGACAAACATTCAACATGTCCCCTTTATTATATCATATAGCCATACTGCAACATTGATCTGAGTTACTTTAAAGAAAATTTCTATTGGTCTTTCTATTAAAAAAGATAAGTGTGAGCATCTGTTAATCCTTCAGAAAAACCTACAGTTTGTTCAAAAAGATTCAGCACTTTTAAACTGCCAAGTCCGTTGGAAGAAGCATCCATGTAAAATAACTGTGGGATGTCAGACATTGCCAAATATGGGGAAAGATGCAGTAAGTGCTCCACAGGCTTATATTTAGCTTCTGATCTAAAAGTGCACTGCACATTAAACTGGGCATGGAAAAACCAGTTAATCAGAAATAAGAGTGCCCTGAACTTTCATCCATCCATAAACTGAAACCAAGTGAAACATTTTTGCTAAGTTTGATAAAGTACAAATAAGTGTAGTAACAACCCTCCCCATCCTTCAACAAGGATTTTTTTTGTCAAAACATATTTGGCAGTCTCAGCAGGCTAACAGCTGTCTTCAAAGTATATAACAGGAAAAGAGAGGAGAGGAGTGGAGAGAAAAGGAGAGGAGAGATCATGGGACAGATCTGATCAGGGAACAGTGAGTTTCAACCAGGGTACCACAACACCCTGGGCTGCTTGAAGATCCTTTCGACAATGCCACAAGGTACCACACAGTGTTAGCACTGTTAGGTTTACAAACATGATTCACAAGATAAATCCAGAGATTTCAAAAAGAAAATCTTTCTGAGTTCTTTGCAACAGAAAAACTGCTCTGTTATTTTTCTGTTGGCAAAAAAAGTGGAAGCTAAAGGCTGGCATGTTCCAAGTGGTGCCTCAAGTCTAAAACGGTTGAGAACCACCGGCCTAGAATGTGTATAGTTTAAGTAGAGAGGTCAGACAAAATCCCTAAGACAAAATAACAGACTAGAGACCAAACTGTCAGATAGATAGAGGGAAGTCAGACAGATAAATCTAGTCTTGGAGCTTGCTGGCCTCTGGTAGAAGCATTTAGAGATGAAAGAGGGGTCCTTCCTGAAACCAAAAGGAAAACTTTGATGAGGGCGGTAGTCAGAGAGACTCAGGCATTGCCAACAGGATGGAAAGGCAGGGCTAAAAGTGTGGGCAAGGACTTTGTTGTAATAGACAGTGAGAAGGACAGCATGTGAAAGGGAGAAAAATGGAAGCAAAAGGACCTCAAAAGGTTTAGGAATGCTCAAGCCTGTATGTAGCTAGACAGAAATTCACAGGGGATTTATAGAATGGTAAAAAGAAAAAATGTGAAAGGACATGGGTGTGCA